GGGGGGGGGACAAAAAAATTAAATTGGTATTCAACATTGTGGGGTGGATGTTTGTAGATTTGTATTAAAATGTTTGAATGAAGATATTTTTCCTCTTTGAATGACACAACATTAGTGTTAATTCCAAAGAAACAACGGCCGGTGTTTGTGTCTGATTTGTGCCCATTGCCTTGTGCAATGATATCAACTACTCCGTAGTTGCTAAGTTTTGGCGAATCGATTTAAGAAGGTGCTCCAATGGGTGATTTCAGGCTCTCAATCTATTTTTTTTGCCGGGAGACTTATTTCAGATAACATTTTGCTTGCAGTCGAGATGGAACACTATTTGGTGTAGTGCTCTTTTTGGGAGAGGGGGCTTCCCTTAGGAGTGCGCAAGGCTGAGTACTACTAGGAGAGGTGTTCACTTGCAAGGAAGCGCTTTCTTGATTAAAAAGAAGAGGCTTCCGAGAAGTGGAGTCGGCATCGGTTGTCAGACATTAGTTTACGCTTTGAATGTTCTTCATACCTTGGGTCCTTTATTGATGATTGTCATTCCATTATGTTATCATTTGATTTTGTTTCGATTAGCTATGTTTGTAGATCATTGAACATGGTGGCTCATAATTTGGCTAGAAATGCTCTTAGTCAACCAAGAGTGTGGGAGCTATCTCCACCTAATTTTGTAAAGATGTTGATTTAAGCTTAATGATATTCTATTTTTTTCAACAGCAAAAAATAGTGAGCATATTAAATAACATGTCGATAAAAAATACTACCTCTAACCCAGAGTATTTTTCCAATTTTTACTTTTTACTGTCAATCGTTTTATTATATATATTGTATATTAATTAGATAAAATAATATTTTGAAAATATTAAATTTAATAAATCTAATAAAATTATTTTTATATCAATATTTAATACGGAGTATCATTTTTATTTAATTTAGGGTTAAATTTACCAATTTTGACAAAAAAAATTAAAAATAGACAAATACTTAAAGACGGAGGAAGTAATATTTGATAAAAACCTTGAAAAATATAAAGTCATCAAGTATTTCACATTTATTAACATGACTTGAATTTGAAGTCATGTTATGGGCAATATCCAAACCGAATCCGAGCCACTTTAAATCTCAACTTGTCAGGTCAGGTTCAAGTCCTTTAAAGATCGGGACAAGTGGGTTAAGATCATGTTCAAGTTGAAAAGTTTAGTATTATTATTTGAAAAATAAGAACTACACCCACATCCCTAAAGCTATGTTTGGTTCAAGGAATTTAGAAGTAAAAGAAAAGAAAATAGTTTTCTCTCACTTTCTTCACCAAAATGGGAAAAATTTGATTTTCCCTCCACTTGGTACATTTTGCCTTCTGATTTTTTTTTTCTTTCTTTTCCCCTATAACCAAACATGAAAAACTATTTTCCACTTCATTTTCTTTTCTTTTCCCTTTCAAATTCCTTGAACCAAACATAGTGTAAGTTGAAAATTGAAAATAATTCCATAGT